AGGGGGGGCGGGGGAGGGAATATCAGTGACGCTCGTCCGATGGGTGTTGAGGGGGGGGGGGTGGGATAGACAAATACAAATATTAGTAATGGGGACTGAAAATGTGTAAGCAACATTACGCTTGCCCAATCACAGTTTACCAACTGTAACTAGCCATGACAATATAACACTCTGTTGCTTCTCCAAGTATGTTTTTCTTCATAGTACTCCCCATACGTTTATGTTAAAATGTTTTAATTACACTTATAGTTGTAATACTGCACTATAATACTCTGCCATAGTCAGATAGGCAGCCCTGCCAGAAATAAAATGCAGCCCCTCATTCGGTTGATTGACAGATGGCTCTGACCTGCAACACATGAACAGTGCTGCTCCTTTTTTATGAGCTGGCGACAGTGTTGATTTTTGCCTCGGACATGTGGTGTTAGTTTGTAAGAAGGGAAAGCTTGGAAAATGTACCACACAAAGTCAAGCCCCCGGTTGCCCTGTCTATTTAAACAGCGGTGGGAGGGGAGGGGGGGCGATGACGACAACACAAGCTGTCATACTTTCCTTAATCTTGCAGTCATTATTTACTTATTTTGAGCTTTACTTTGCTATTACTGTCTGATGAGAGATGAGAAAAAAAATCTGGACTTCAAGGATTTTCCTTTTTATTTCAACAAAAATGCCTACAAAATGGGCAATAATCACATCAAATTAATTACAGCGATAGCCCATAAAAACGAATATGCTCGTATCTTGGCCTATAAACAAATGAATACATGAATATACTGTAGCCTATGCAGCAATTTAATATGAAATACCTGGCTTTGTTGAGACTGTCTGTCTATCGGTGTCCTCCCCTGCGTTTCAGTACCCTGGACAGCTCCATTAACACGCTAGTATACGCAACAAACAGCGCTATTCGTCTGAGAAGAACTCATTATAGTTCATGTTGATGCATAATGAATAATGTGAGGCTACCATTCCTTATGTCATGGGCTGTTTAGAGTTTTTGTGTCAGCTTTTGAGGCTGAACCCAAATGCAGAAACCGGACAAGCAAGTGAAGAAAAAACAAGTCTTTAATTGAGAGAAGCAGGCAGGGATGGGGAGTTGTTGGCTGGCGGGAGATTTAAGCTTGGCAGAGAGAGACCCGATGTAGTGAGCTGGCTGGCGAGCTTGGCAGACTGGCGAGGCGGGCAAGCAGGCAGGTAATCCTGGCGACAAGAAGAACAGATGTAAGACAAAAAGGAGACAGACAAACAAACTATCAGCTAGGTAAGACGGGCTGGCAAATAAAAAAACATGTTTGGCGCGATGATCTGGGGGGAACGGGCTGTTGATGCAGGTTCTTGTGGGGAAGACAAGCAGGCGTGCTGATCCCTGATTATTGCCAGGTGTGCAGAGAGAGACGGGGAGAAAGGACGGACAAACCCAAGCACACACACTCATTCTAATAAGGCTGAAAAGCAACAAAAACACCCTCACACCAGACAGGCAGGTGTCACAGAGGAGGGGGCCGGGACATTTTGGGGTAATGCATTGCTGATTCAGCTGATGATTACCATGGCAACGGTCGAAGCTTCGAAGCATTCGGATCCGCCTCACTGTCTTCGCTGCAATATGCGTTCCTCAAACGCATATTGCAGACCCTTTCAAAAATGAGATAATATTTCTTCAGGGAGTGCAGTTAGTGACAGTGTGGGCTCCGAAAGCTTGACGGAGTAGCATCGGGGGGTGGGGCTTAGCGAAAGGGTCAAATGCTCCTGAGAATGAACAGGTTTGCTTTTACATCACATTTTCAGCACAGGTCCTTTGTCTTTGGTAGTCAATCTGCACTTCTTCTGCACTTGAACTAAATGTTGTTTTGAGTTGGAGCCATGGTCACCTAGTCTTCTAAGCTTTAAAATGTCTTTTGGTACAGAAAAGTAGCTGGGCTCCACGCACAATGCAAAAAGATGGGCTGAACAAAAGCAGATGAGTTAGAGCCAAAATGCACCGGCTGGTAAAATTACAGGGAAAATAAAAGTTGCAGAGGCGCAGTCGAAAATATGACGATAAATCCCGCAAATGTGCGACCACACACATGCAGTACAACGTGGACTAGAAATACACACAGAAACGAAGACACGATCCCTGAGGAGAACCGGAATTTGTTTAATTAGCCAATAAAAACGTGAAACACAAGACGAACCGGGGCATTCGCTCTCCGACTTGTAACAACATCTTGTGTTATCTTTAGCTTAACCCACAGCCATCTTTTAAAGGAAAACATCTTTCTCCTCCGCTTCCTCTGAACCTCCTTGTTTTTAGCTTTTTGGCACATTACAGAACAAGCAGTAGCATTGGTATTCAATAATTAATCCCCATTTAACTTCATAGGGCATGCTTTTACAGTTCACATTGATCCGAGATTCCACAGTTAATTGAAGGCTCGGAGACAACCGGATTAATGAAAAAAAAGAGCCATAGAACAAGAGCGGGGTTATCGCCAGCACACAGAAACACACACACACACACACACACACACACGTGTGTTATTATAGCATGACATTCAACTGCTCTGTAGGGCTTAATCTAATAGAAGCTTAGTATTACTAAAGTCCTTCCTTATTAGATGTATTTCAGCCTTATAAAACTATGCGCCTGCCTGCCTTTCATCCCTTGTTTTCTTCCTAATATTTTACATTTTCTCTGTTTTTGCTTGTTTGTTTCACTGTCTGTGTTTCAGTCTGAATTTGAGGAACGTGAAGAACTAGGGAAACATTATGCAACCTCCCCTGCCACTGCTGCATTAATCTCCAGGTTGAGGTTGATGCATTGCTGTACAAGTCGGTCTCGTCATTACCCGTGTTTCTGTTTTTAATATCAGGGGCACTTAGGCATGCCGTGAAGCGTTCTGCCACCAAACACGACTGAGATAACAATAACACCGCAGCCATGAATATTTCAGTCCCAAAGGGTGCTATCAGACACAGGGTTAGCTCTCAATCATCCTTCAGGCACACACCTGGGATGCTACCGTGGTGTGTGTGTTCGTGTGTTTGTGATGTGAGTGTGTGTGTGTGTGTGTGTGTGTGTGTGTGTGTGTGTGTGTGTGTGTGTGTGTTTTCAAACCAGCCATTCCATTTTTCTCCATTTGACTGAGCAAAAGTAGAGACTTTGGATGGGTGGATTTTGGTGGTGACCCCAGAGGCTAGAAACAGCCTAACACACACACATATATACACATAATTCCACCTATTCCATCCCTTCACCCCGAGAGACAAAAAACAATAATAAGGCCATATGTCTCTGCGTGGTCCCATATAGCTACAGGCCACAGTGGGCTGCATGCATGCTGGAGACTCATGCCATCCTGTCAGCGCTGATGGACGGAGATGGGAGGCCCCAGTGAGTCACACTTTCAAATTTGTTTAGGGAATGCGTGACCTTATGGGGCACACAAACATGCATATATACAAACACATGCATACGCCGCGAGCTCTCGCACGCTCCAACACAAATATGGAAACCCACACACACGCAGAGCTCTAGAGGCCATCCATTGTCTCCTGCCAGACAGAGACGACAGGAACGCTCGGATAATGAGAAAATGTGCTCCAAGTGGTTTTGCATGATGCGCCAAGAGGGCTTATTTATGTGTGGGGGGGTGTTGTCGGTGTTGTTTTTTTTATTTTTATTTTATTTTGTTTGACTGCATCTGTGCGCTTGTATTCAAATTCTCACTCAAATCCCTGCGCTGATTGAAATGCCGAGCTGGTAGGTGTGACGTAAGAGATGATTCATATTTCGTAGTGAGTTTTTCTTTCTTGTGGTCTGACGGGACGTCTGTGGGCCGGCTGCACGCGTTCGGGTCCGAGCCATCCAGTAGAGCTCAGTGGAGAACCTTTTCTGCAGGCCGTTTGACTCGTGATGCTGCTGCTCGCGCATGCAGCGAGTTATACTCTCATCCTGGTTCACCTTTAAAGTAGAGCAGCATTATTATTGCATTTCTTAATGGCTTCGATGAAAGCGGCTGTCTGATAAATCCTGGCTCTGTTTATTGGAAGGCAAACGGGCCACTTCATTGTGCATCTAGAGCACAAATGACCGTCTCCTTTCATAGACCCTTTCCATGGTAATGGGTCAGAACAGTCCACATTAGTGTCTCCTGCACGCCGTGTCACTTTTCTTTCTCGTGTCCCGTTTTCTTTTGTTAACCTCTTTTCCACCGAAGGTCTCTCTCGTCTGAGCTGTGGAGAGACATGACTTTTTGATCCCGAGTGTTCTCTGCTTTTCACTTTTTTGTTCCTCTTTGTTTTCTCGCCCTGCGATGCTCCTACAGCAGTCCATTGTCACTAAAAAGCACTTTCAATTAAATGCAGCTAAAACGCTGAATCAGAGAGCAACGATGGCTCCGCCACCCTCGCTCCACTTCTCTCTCTTTCTTCTTCTGTCAAAAACCTGTTGATCATAATTTCCTATATTTAAATGCATTGTAAGGGGGGAGTATTAGTGTTTTTAAAGACAGGACATCTTACATTGAGCAAGAGTTCAGTTTCACTCATTACAACTGTGTCCTCTCCCTTATTCCTGTGAGGGACGTTTAACTGCCATAGATATAACCAATCGAAATTTCATATGGCCTTTTACTTTTGGAATGTGTTCTTATCCGATCTGTGAACACCATCGCAAATATGTTACATATCCAGTGTGTGAGAATTATTACATGTTAACTGTCACTTTTTCTTTTTTAAAGAATAGCATTTCTATGTTACACTTAGGATGTCGTGAATTTCCAATAATAGGAAATAATGTTCACACACTGACAAAAATATTGTAGCTACTTAGGCCACAATGGCCAATCAGAAGAAAGGTAGTTAGAGTTTCCCTGTGAAGTATGCAAGTCGACACAAGTAAGATATGATTATCGGATACATTTTTTTAAATCTTTATTCTCTTACCATGTCTCAAATTACCCGCTTCTCTCTGTAAATATATTTCAGTGAAGTGCTCCGGTAAGTACACAGTCCTGCCATTTGCTTTACTTTGAAAACAAAAATCTGATGTTTTCTTTCCGAGCTTAGAGACAACCACTAGGAAAACATCAGTATTTGAGGTTTGCAGACTATGGAAGGTCAGTGTCCTCACCTGTTAAGCCCTTGTTCACATTTCTCAAATGAGAGAGGGCTCTCTGATACAGTGCTTCCCTCCTCCAGACTCCGCAGATAGCTGTCTGATGTCTCATGCTCAACGGGGTCCTCATGGGCCCAGATCACATGGAGCTCCCGTGGACTCACTTATTAAAGGCTGCAGCTCAAAGCGACTCAGAGCCTTACATCTTTTCTATGTGTAGCCACATCACTCTGTATTTATGCCATCAGAGTGGTGCCACCAGCAATAAATGAGTCAATAAATAAACAAGTTGTTTTTTTCTATTTACGTGTTTATAAAAATTCAGTTTCAATCCCAATAAAGACTATTTCCAAAGTTATTGTTTTATTTGAGGGGGGATTCAAGTAATAGCCAGAAATGTTATCTTGAATAGAGTTTAGTTTGTGGCTACTTCGAGGCACTTGGGAACAACAGTTGACTGCTGATTCATTCAAACTGGCAGGGACAGGAGCAGATACTTAACAAAGGAAATGTTTAATTATTACACATGCTGGAGACACAAACAATATCATGTAAGTTATTCAAATGAGTTATTATAGGTTAAATTAGGTACAACTTCTTACTCAAATTATGCTTCATATTCTTCTTTAAAAATTCAGATTTTATAAAAACATGAACTTCATATTAGAAAATTATTAGAAAATATAAATACAAATTCAGTCGTTTGTGTTCTGAGCTCCTCCCACAGCGTCATACTGAATAAGGTCACACCCTAGGGAAGTACGTTCTGTGATGGCTGAAAAATGCTTATGTCGGCGTAATCGAGACCTGTAGTGAATTTTTGTCCGGCGGGAAATTAGGAGGGTCTGTGTTTGCTTCTGGCCTCAGACGCCAAGGTATCGAATATAAGTTCTGTACAAGAACCAGAGTTTCCCTGTCCTGCAGCTGCCGCCGTTAGAGGCTTCCTGCTTCGACTTGCCCTCATCCCAGCAAAGCATCCCAGCAAAGCATCCCATAGCATCCCAGCAAAGCATCCCATAGCATCCCAGCCAAGCGTCAGAAATGATCCCATCGCCGGTGACTTTGTATCTTAGGCAGCACTTGGTGGGCCGGACAGGCTGATGGCTGCTAAACACCGCTCTCTGCGTGGTCTGAGACACTCAAAGCTGGCGTTGTGAAGATCCTTTTCGGCGATGAGGCCGGGACATGACGGGCACTGACCAGGTTCTTAAAGAGGCGACTTCGAATGCCTGCTTGTGATTGGAGGAGAGTATTTCCCTTCGAGTCCAGTAGAGAGAGGAGTTTGTGTGAGTTAGTACTTTTCAGAGGCAGGTCTTCTGCAGTCATCCCAGATTATGAGTCATCCACCCAAACCTGATACAGTATGTACACGTGTGTGTGCATGTGCACCGCACCCTTACTTACACGCATGCACATTTTTGCATCTCTGCATTGCAGCGACAGAGAATTTGTGACCCTGTGCGGCTTCACTCTGAGATAAAAGAAAGTCATATCAAATGGCTCCGAAATAGGTTTGAAGAGATTTTAGAGGGAAAAAAAGAAGGATTGTGTCCATGCGATTGATGATTCAGTGTTTCTGTAACTAAAAACGAAATTCCCTTCACAGCCAGTGATTAGTTGGGGAACAGTTGTTGAGCAAGGCGCACACAAGCGCTGCGTATGGCTGTGATGAAGCCGCATGAGGCTCTGCTGGTAGCTCATCCTAGTGGTTTTTATTTTTTTCTTCTTCTTCCAGCAAAGTCAGAGGGGATTTCTGACACGAGAAGGGCGCATAAAAGCTACATCAATGGTACAGGGATATAACATGATAACCAGAGCGAGCCTCCTCTGCTGTAAATTCACAGCGGGCATCAGTTCTTGTGAAGGCACAGGTTAATGTACGGGCAAATGAGTCCTATTGATGTGTGAGTCAACACGCTACTCAGAGGTGAGACGGAGAGATTGATCTCAAAGTGAAAGACAGCATGAGGGGAAGTGGGTAAACACTGGGTTTAGACAGAAAAATACTCCTTTTTTCTCTCTTTCAACCAGCCTCTCTCGGGCGAGATTACTGTTCCCATGGCAACGCAGCTGATTGCATGGACATTTCTGTGGTTGTGGGTGCCATGGCAACACATTACATTATACTGGTGTTGAGAGCCTCCCTGCATGCGTCCATATGGTGCAGTGTTTGCATTTACACACACACACACACACATGTCACCGCCGTCATGATGATACACACACACAGAGGGCTACTGGTCACATGGCGTCAGGGCGGCAACAAGTTGGACCTCCTCAGGCACCACGAACACACTCCTTGATCCTTTTGGTTCCCTATTCAAACTGAGATTATGTTTAGGAGACTAATCCCATGTTACAGGCGCATTACAACACTTGCAGTGTGCTAGCCAGCCAGTATGCAGCAAATAGGCATTTCATGGAGGCTTGAGTCATTGTATTGGCTTTCTCAAAGCATGTAGCCTACTTAGGTCTGTGTATGTGTGTGTGTGTGTGTGTGTGAGGTGGGATATAAATATAGTCAAAGACGTTACAGATAGAGATACTGAATGTTCTAGTAGGAGGTACTTGCGATAAAATCTTGGGTAAGTTTCAGGCCCCTTTGCTCATCTGTTGTTTTTTTTATTTACTGCTGAATAGATTTATTGTCTTTTTTCACACTGTTGGTTGGAGATGATGGTGAGTAAAATGTGCATGGCACCTCCTTTAAAAGTCTGGACACATGTACACACACACACACACACACACACAGCCCCTCACTCCTTGCATTCAGACAAGATATTTATTTCTCTAGTGGATTGTTTCAGAGGCAGAGCATCTCCATGGTGATGGCAGCCCACAGATCAGGACGAGTAAGAGAAGGAGGAGGCGGCAGAGAGAGAGAGAGAGAGAGAGATGATTCCAGCTTATCCGCCACTGCTGTACACTTGTTGACACACTTATATGCTGATGTGTATTCATACAGGCAGTTAATACACTCCATTCCTCACTCTCTCTTCCACTTTTCACTCCTGGTGGCTTGTTGCTCTCTCTCCGCCCTCCCTGCTCTCGCTGACTCTCACAGCCTCCATCTGCTGCTTGGTTGTGTTTCTCCGGCTCCCTGTTGCAATACGCTGTACTAAGCTGCACGTAGGGTCATATATTATATAACTTTAACAGAATCACCTTGGACATTTCCTGGTCAAGATACCAAAGAGTGCATACAACATAAAGGTTAGTATTTAGTACAAAAAAAACATTAAGAAAAAAATATAAATATACACTCTTATATTTAAATGATAAGAAAGCCATTTGATTGAATCGGGTTTTAAAATAATACTGAGTTCCTCTGGCAGATCATTCCACAGTGGGTGTTTTAACAGCAGAGGCTTTGTCCTTAATCTAACTATGGCAACAACAGGCAGGGTCCTCAACCATAAGACCTTAAACTTGCAAAATAAGTATCTCCTTTTAAAGGAATAACACAGACGTATTATAAAATACTTTTTTTTTTAAATATCCAAAATGCAAAGACAGTAATTTGCATTTTGTATGTGTACAAAAGCATACTGTAAAACCAGTGGGTGTCAGATATTATGCAGAATCATCTCCAGATATTTCCTGCATCACATAACACATTTAACAAAAGAACATTACTAGTATTTCACTACTGAATATTAGACAGCCTGAATGAGTCACTAGAAATACCAGCCGTGTACATGTTTTTGATGGAAATGTTTTGGCCCAATACTTCAATGTTCAAGACATTTGAGAATATTTATTAAATATAGTCCTTGATTTTACGTGTGCTCTTTCTCCCACCACCCCTCCCACTGCTTTAAACACGTAAGCCTTATGACGAGAGAAGTAACCAGCGTCTTATACTGTGATAGCAGATGTGTTGTAGTGTTGTAGCTTTCATTAACATCGTTTTTCAGTAGCAGCAGAGAGAAGCTCCAGAAACAGCTGCACTGTTGCGCTACCTGCCCAGCACCAAACAGCAGACCGACACAGTTAGCGACGAGCTGGTGAACACACTGTACTGAACTGCCCCATATTTCCCTCAGGAGTTGGTGGGAAGCAAAGCAGAGCTAACAGAGGAGTAAATATTGGACTTACGCTCACCAGGTGGCCAGAAAGATGACTGTATGAATGTTAAAGTGTTTCTGCTGGATGTGTAAATAAGCAGCTGTTTGCTAACACGTAGCCACATCACCTTTGGTCATAATATGTCAATGTTGTCAATCCATTAAAACAGTTTTAAAGGAAACATTTAGTCCATCTTGATGTCAGTGTAGCGAAACATTCATCAATTTCATCACAATCTTGTTTGTTGAGAAAGGTTTTAATCCCGTGTACCCATAATGAATTTTTTAAAGGTCTGGGTCTTAATTCTGTACATTTTGCTTTCAGACCAAAAGACAAATATTTGTATCTCTGACTCCCGACTTGCATTGTCGTTCTCAGGTACCTCATGAATGTGACATTTGAAGGCCGTAACCTGTCATTTAGCGAAGAGGGTCACCAGATGTTCCCCAAACTGGTCATCATTCTTCTAGACAAGGACAGACAGTGGGACAGGGTGAGTATCTCCACTTCTCCCCTCTTCTCTTATTCTTTTCTTCTTCCCTTCTCTCTCTCCTATTTTATTTGATCTTCTCTTTACTCTTCTTTTTCTCTTCTAACATCAACCTATCTCTGAGTCCTGTTCTGCCCTTCGCTCTTCCCCAAGTCTATCTTCTGCCTTTATTTTCCGCTTAGTGTCTTTCACCCTCTGTGATGCGTCTGTCACGTCTTCATTTGGAGTGTTCGCCCTGCCACTTGAAGTACCTGTTACAGTGGCTTGTATATCACACAGCCCTCCCTCCCACTCACTCCTGCAGGTTGGCAAGTGGGAGAGAGGCTCTCTGACGATGAGATACCATGTGTGGCCTCGCTTTGAGCTGTACTCTGCGGCGGAGGAGCGGGAGGACCACCTGTCCATCGTGACTCTGGAGGAAGCGCCGTTTGTCATCGTGGAGGACGTGGATCCGCTCAGTGGCACCTGCATGAGGAACACTGTGCCATGCCGCAAACAGCTCAAACTCAGGTGATAATTTAAACATTAAAAAGTGACATTTTTGTCTCACGAGAATGAAAAATCTGATTTGTTTTTGCTGTGTGAATCCAGGATGAACCCTGTAGCGTCAGAACCGTTTTTTTTTGTGAAACTTAGTGTGAGACATATAGATTTAGGCGTCAATATGTCTGCAAAATAAATCATTTAAAACCTTTCTGGTATACTGTGTAACCTTCTGCATGTATTCAAAATCAAACAAATCACCAGTATAATAAAACCATAAAACCATAACAGCTGTATCGGTAGTTTAGCAGAATATTATTCAAGCTGTGAATAAGGGAATAAAGAAATGAATCAGTGTTATAATAACAGGTCCATATACAGTATGTGCAGATACGAATGCTCACAGTCATGATTTATTTACACTTTCCTTGAATTTCCCTTTTTTGCGTGTCTTTGGCTCCTTTGTTTATTAATTTTTCTGTATAGATTCTCCTTTTTTTCTCTACTGGAGTTCAAAAGCAATCATTTTCATCCTCGCAAAATCTCTCAATATCTTTTTGATTAACTGCTTACTTCACTACTGCTAACTAGATCATTGTCTTGGTTTATGTTACTGTTGTCCTCCCTCCCCTGCCTCTTCACCCTCTCGCCGTCCACTTCACCTTGGTGTGTGATAATGAATTTTCTTCAATGGCCTCGTTTTCTATCACTGGCCTACCTGAAATCTCCTGAGGGCGTCTTACATCTTCTGGCTCAGTGCTTTTTTTATTGACTGCTCTTCGACCCTGTTCTCTCTCCTATTCCCCTTTTCTCCTCTCTGTCCGTCTGTCTGTCTCTTCCTTCAAAGACACCTCTCATCTAGCTTTTCAGGGATAGATAGCAATGTGCCACAGAGCATTATGCAGGATTTCTCTCCATCCAAATATACTCCATGAGCCAGATGCACCGAGCTGTGTAGATGTTTCTTTGGATGCACAAAAGCAGAAATACGTGGACTCAGCCTTAAAGGTGCAATGTGTAAGATCTGGACAGAATTTTTGTTTGAAGCTTTCAAAAAAATTGACTTACTGGATTTGAAGAAAAAACAGTTATCGGTAAGTCAAAGACCTCTATGTATTTTGTTGCAGAGAGATCGACTGAAATGAGCACGCCTACTTAGCAAAGTCGTTGTATGAGGCAATATAGTGAATCAACGGCGGCATCAAATTGCCAATAAACGGTGTTTTGAGAAAGTGTGAGTCACTGCAACCACAAGAGGTCCTTGAGCATGCAACCATAAATGAGCAACCAAAATATTATGCATGGTATACAAGATTAGCTGTGGACAGATACAGAGATGCACACGCTGACTCATGCACACACATAACCGATCTCATGATCTTCTTGCGGAGATGAAAAATGACTAAATTCATGGATTAACAAAAAATGTTGCCATTTAATGTTCTGTCCATCAACATTCATACTGACATCAGGTGGTTTCTTGTTTTAATGTGTGCCAATCAATGAAACAACCTGCTGGAGTTTTTGGATGGAATGAAAACCTGCATAGTCTCTCAGCACTGGTCCCCTGGTTTTTTAAACTTTCATTTCATCTCATCCCTGCTGCTGTCTTCTCTCTTTTGAATCTGCTAGTTTAATGGACCTGAACCCAAATCAACTGTTCCTCCTGTTCCCCTTCCTTTACTTATCGTCCTCTCTGTACCAGCAATCAGACTGGCGATTCAGGGATTTACATCAAGCGCTGCTGCAAAGGTTTCTGTATTGACATCCTGAAGAAGATTGCCAAGGCGGTCAAGTTCACTTACGACCTCTATCTGGTCACCAACGGCAAACATGGCAAGAAGGTTAACGGGACATGGAACGGCTTGGTTGGTGAGGTGAGGACACGTCTCTGTATTTTACACATAAACAAAATGACACCGTTGATTCCACGTGTCCTTGATGAATTACTGGCTCTGATTCTCTTTCACTGATGGACAGATTTTTTTTTTTCATTTAACTCTTTTCTTAAAAGCGTACTGCATTCAGCATGCCTCAATGAAGACATGCAACACTATTTATTATGACACAGGGGAAAATGTGTGGAAAGATTGTCAAAAATAATCGCAGAGTCAAATTTAACTTTCAATTTTGGAAAGTGAGAAAAAGTTGCTATTTCAGATGAGAGTTTGGTTACCAGGCTTCTCTCTCTCTTTGCATTTGTTTAATGGAGCATGATGGAGGTGGTTTTAAAATGTGTAACACTAGATTGTGAAACAGCTATGGATTAATATGTCTTAAATTGAATTCCGTTTTCAATTATTAATTATGCCTTATGTTTATTTAGTCCACATATGTGTGTGTATGTTTGTTGTTTTTTCTCTTTTCCTTTGCTCATCAGTTTTGCTGCTCTTATATCAGTTTTTAATTCATTATTATTTAAGTGAATACAATGCACAGACTAAATTGCTTTGCAAAAAGTAAAAAAAAATAATATAGCAAGTAAGTATGTAATCTAATACTAATGTTAACACTACTACAACTGGCGAGAGTGTTTTGGTGCCCATGGGAATTTATTTTTATGATAGGGCTAATTATATTGTCAGAGTGTCTCTTTTTCACTGTCTTTGTCAGCCATCGAGTTGCACTGGTTCCCCACAACCCGGCCTGAGGGGGACCTGTGATCAGCTCCGGAAAACCTCTGGAGGAGGACAGTGAGGCTCCTAATCAGAGATGGAGAAAAAAAAGACATGGGGAAGGAGAAAGCGATTGGAGGAGAGAGAGAGAGAGAGAGAGAGAGAGAGAGCCCCAGGGAAAGACGCACTTCCCTACTGCACACATTAGACATTCAGCGAAAACCTTTACAGATCAATGTGACGTGCAACTTAATTGATTATGGCATACAACCAGCCACTTTATTACTATCTTAGTACTATCTTAGTACTATCTTAGAACGTAGTTGAGTCAAGATGTGCAGGGTAGTGTAAAAATTCCAGCATCCAACATCAACCTATACTTATATTTATTATTCATGTAACATACATCAGCATAAAGACATTGGAGAAGACAAATGTGCAGTTCATGCATGCATGGAAGCGGTAGTCCATGTCCTGAAATGCCTAAGCAAGCAGCTAATGATTTCATTTGATGGGGGGGGGGGGGGCACAGGACAGCAGGACAAGAGATGCAGAAAACAGGATGAGAGAGAGAAAAAGAATAAAGCAAGCCTATGAAGAAGTGTGACAAACAGAGAAAAAAACTAAACGGAGCGTAGGATTCCTGCTCACTCTGGCAAACATGTCTCTTATTAAAACAGTCTTTTGTGCTCCATTTTTATTCACGGCCCGAGGCTCCAGAAACTTAAATATACCTGAACACACTCGGGAGGGATTCTGGGGTCGGTGGGGAGTCGAATACTGACCCAGGGTTGTAATGATCCCCTTCTCCTACTTGGCAAAGATGGTCTCTTGTGTACGAACTGCAGCACTGACTGACTTGCCCAAAATGTTTCTTTCGCCTGTCTGTTTTCCCCGCAATCCTGGGAATATTCAGCACTGACCCTCCCCGTTTCCCCTCTCCCGTCTGTCTCTGTCTGTCTGTGGCTGACCCTCAGGTGGTGCTGAAGAATGCCCACATGGCAGTGGGTTCGCTCACCATCAATGAGGAGAGGTCCGAGGTCATTGACTTCTCTGTGCCTTTCATTGAGACGGGGATCAGTGTCATGGTCTCCCGTAGCAACGGCACCGTGTCCCCCTCCGCCTTCCTTGGTGAGGACGCAGGCACTTGGTGCTTTTGGCAGATGTACAACACAGTCGAGAACACTTACACGCACACACACACATACTCAGATATCGAATAATAAATGCACAATCACGCACGAGTACAAGTGTTTTTTCACAAAACAAAGACACTGTTTAATTGTGTTGATTGGTTTGTTCCAGCAGCACGAAACCTAACAAGTTACATGGTGACATAAAATGCAGATGAAAGTGTATTTTTCTGTGAACATCACTAAATACTGAAATGCACATACTTGTACGTCAACATTATCTTGTGAAAGCGCTACGGTTGAGCTGTTCTTGACCTTTGGAAACTAATCTCACCACAAGGTGCATTCAGTGGCTGTTCTGGAGCTTTCAACTGTATCGCACACACAAGTCGTCATGGAATAATCGACGTTCAAAATCCCCATTGTTCTGACCACTTTAAAGGCGTCTCCGTGCATTAGTAGTGTCTTAGCGTTGTCATCCTTAAGATTTCAGTCCTGGTTGATATGGCGACACTTGTTGTTGCCGTGGGAACAGCAAGTGTGGTATGATACTACAGGTCCCACAATTCTCGTTGAGCGGCTATTTTTTTTTCAGGTCAGTCAGTTATTGTACGTTTTCCAACATGTCACGAGAAAGGTGACGTCATGTTTTGCACACAACAGCAGGGCACAGAAGCGCTGGTTACCTGAGGAGATGGAGGTGTCACAGCTCACTGCGGCTTCACCTGCTTTTTCCATTACTCCCAGTAAGATATAAAGTAGACCCTAAAAGTGTTTCGTAAACATATTTATGATGAACTGTCGCTGTCAGCCCTTTGATATACAATTTTAATGTGAACCAGCAGCAGGAGTATATTACTAGAGCTCTGTTAGAGTGGACAGTAAAACAGTGAGGCTGTTACCAATTTAACGAGAAAAAGTGCACAACATTTTTTTCTAATTGGAACATTTACTATTCCATCCGTGGACGAAGATTGTGCGCTACAACTGAAAGCTCCAGAGCAGCTACTAAATGGACCTTGTAGTGAGATTGTATTGTTAACTGCAGTACTATGGTGATTGTCACTGATTGGTCTGTGTGTGAAAATTGCAAAGCAGGGTGCGAGTGGTGGGAAATGTGCACCACTTCAATGAGTAAATCTGTCCATTCACACATACCAAGCGCCCTCTCAGTTTGTCTCTTGAGATGTGCTTGTTACTGTTCACACAAACGCAGGCACAATCCATCACTGTGTAACAATGAGCACACAGTACATCACGTCTGAATACAAGTAATCATGTTGATACCAGGGGGGATTTTTTATCATTTTCTTTAATTTGGTTTGATCAACTTCCTGTCTCTGTCTTTCCACAACCCTCCCTCATGCCCGTTTCCACTTCCTCTGCTTCCCCCTCACCCCCTCTCTCTCTCGCTCCCTCTCTGTGTTTCAGAGCCCTTCAGTGCTGATGTCTGGGTGATGATGTTTGTGATGTTGCTGATGGTGTCGGCCGTGTCTGTGTTTGTGTTTGAGTACTTCAGCCCTGTGGGTTACAATCGCTGCCTGGCAGATGGACGAGGTGAGAGGATTGCGCACACACACACACACACACACATGCTCAGACACACACACCATCAGACCCAGTCAACGCATGCTCCAAAAAAGTGACAATGAGGTTAATTATCAGGCGACCTCACGTGCCGAAATGAAGACTTAGTTGGCATGTTTCGTTACCTTGAAAGTAGCATTCAAACAAAGCCCCTTGTGTGCTAAATTACTTGACAATCCCCTCTGAATGAGCGTGATTGGAGCGCTTTCTACTCGAAGCCGTGGAGTACTTATCTCCATCTACAGTCACTTGAGCTCTTTCACTAATGACAAGGATCATTGACAAGAGCCCGATAGGTGATCCGAAAGTATTCTTAGTGTCACAGTGTGAACAAAGACTCCTCTGTTCTTGCAATACGTCTTTTTTTTGTTTATTGTGCCGTTCTCAAATATGACACACCATTGTTACACACATCGAGGGTTGTAAAACCGGTGAGGACACTTAAGTAGATCTATTACCATACATTGAAAATATGTGTCAGGTTCAATGGTGTCTGACAGTATGGAATAACACTGCGCTGTTGAATCAAATTCGGTTCCAGCAGGCCATTCAAATCAATTTGCCCCTCAAAATCGATGGTTCAGATTCAATCTATTTTTTCTCCAGGTTTTATACACCCAGCTCTGTTTGACTCTCAGGATTGCATTAGGCTGCTACAACGGCAGCCACTCAAGATAAAATCAGAGATGTGATTTATGGCCGCTCACAGCCTTTTTCTTTTTTTAAATCAAGGACCAGAGGGGAGAAGAGTAATGGTGTTTGGTTTGGAGTTATGTTAGTGTTTTCTGACTGTCTTCTGTCAACAGTGTATAGTGTGTGTGGTTTAATCGCCAGGTTATGTAAGGCTGTTGTCCTTTACGGCTGCTCCAGCTGTAGCATAATTGTAGCCTGCTGCCCATCTACCCCCCTCCCCCTTTTCTCTCTCTGCCTCCCTGTCTGTGATGCCACAGAGCTACAGTAGGTAGTGCTTCTACCCTGTTACCTTGTCATGCTGCCATCACGGTAGGTGGATCAGAGGTAGTCTGTATCAGTGGGTTGTCACGGCAGAGGCTGGAAGAGCCCATGTGGATCCTGCGATCACTGACAAACAAAAGGATGAGAATAAATCCAGTCTTTGTCGCCGCCGTCCATCAAGTGCATCCCACTACGGCGGTCACGAGCAAATGCAGATAAAGTGAAGTAGCACCTGGGATCTGTCAAACTGCTCTCTTATCTTTCTTTGCACCCCTCCCTCCTCTTTCCATGTCTCTCCCAGAACCCGGCGGCCCCTCTTTCACCATCGGTAAGGCCGTCTGGCTGCTTTGGGGTCTGGTTTTCAACAACTCCGTCCCCGTGCAGAATCCCAAAGGGACCACCAGTAAGATCATGGTGTCGGTGTGGGCCTTCTTCGCTGTCATCTTCCTTGCCTCCTACACTGCCAACCTGGCTGCCTTCATGATCCAGGAGGAGTACGTCGACCAGGTGTCGGGCCTGTCAGATAAAAAGGTGTGAATCCAAGGCAATGTGTGGGGCCGTGTGGCGGGGGAGCGGGTGTGTGAAAGTACGTAACGTAGGGTGTTGTGAGACCGAGTGTGGATGGCTTTTTGGAGTTTGTGTGAGTAGATGAGAGTCTGTTAGCGGGATCACGAATTAGGGCTGCCACTAAAGATTTATTTTTGCTTTTTATTATGTATTTTATTTGACCTTTTATTTATACAGATTATGAGTCATTTTTTTTGTTCATCGTACAATTTAATGATGGTCATGAATGCATATGTTCAGTATGACCACTATCTGTTGCTCAAGCTGTTTCACAATGCTAACTAGTTTTCATGCACTTTACATCGCAACATGTGTTTTTCAGGAGATTCCTGGGCAGCCAGTCGGCCTGCTGTAACTCGTAATTTATATAAAAAAGTGAGCTATTCCACAATCTTTTCAGGAGTCCCCCTAGCTAGAAGTTCCCCTCATGGGGGATCACTGGTTTGGTTAAAAAAACTAAATGTAAAAAGTACCCATCACACGTCCATGGTGATTGTTTTCAAATTGCCTGTTTTGCCTAATGCTACGTTCACACCAAACGCGTCGCGTTACTCGCGGGAGTTTACTCGCGGGACCATTTGTGGTTATTCGCGTCATTTGCGCTAGACGCACCGTAGAGGAGGAGTGGCTTATCTACAGTATACACATTTAATTTGGTCTCTACTAATATCAGGTATCGTAGAGCTCTGGGTGAACACCTACGGCTACAATCTTTTTCCTCGGTAGTTTCAGATTTAACAACGCCAGGACATCAGTGATGACAGGACAATCTCCACGCTGATAGGCTTTGGCGACACAGCGTCACGTTTGTAATCTACTTGCGCGAAAAATTTGCATCACGTTTGGTGTGAACGCACCATAACCCTCAATTTACAAAGATATAAAACAAAGAAAAGCAGCAAATCCTCCAATTTTAAAAGCTGTAACCAGCAAATGATTGCTTCAATGATTAAACGATTATCAACATTGTTGTTGATTGACTGAGCGTCTTGAATTGATTTTCTATGAATTGGGCCTTCAATTTTATTTATCAACTAAATTAGAGCTGAAACAATTTCTTGACCAATCAATTAGTCCAACAACAGAAATCGAATCAGCAACATTTTTGAGAAACGTTTTATCAATTTAAAAGCACTTTCAAGCAAAAATGTCAAAATGTGAATTACTTATTGTGAGGATCTGCTGCTTTTCTTCTCTTATTTATTATTATTGCTATTATATTTGTCAGTTTTTCCAACATTTTATAGACCAAATGATTAATCCAGAAATTCAGTAATCAGTAATGTAGATATTCATCAGTTGCAGCCCTACACTAATCATCTGAATGGAGGATCTTTATTGTTGATCTTGATCTGGTGTATTGTACATGTTTGTCTGTCTATTGGGCTCAACTCAAAGCATTTCATTAATAAGTTTCCTGTTTCTGTTTGACGAAACAGTTCCAGAACCCTAATGAATTCTCGCCCCCGTTCCGGTTTGGCACGGTGCCCAACGGGAGCACAGAGCGCAACATCCGCAACAACTACCGGGACATGCATCAATACATGACCAGCTTCCACCAGAAGAATGTAGACGAGGCGCTGTACAGTCTGAAGTCCGGGTGAGGATGGGGGGGGGGAGGACAGAGGGGAGGATGGAGAGACAGATGATGGGGGTGATGTGAGGAGGGAGGGAGTTGAAAGGATCTCAGCAGGGAGAAAAGAGACGAGCGCGATGGAGCTGTGAGGACCTGTGCTGATGCAATACAGAGAAAAGATGATGAAGGAGTGAGGAGAGGGAGACAGAAGGAAGAGGGAGCATTCTGGGTGATGTTCGTGGGCAGCCAGCGGAGCTGTGTATCGGCCACCGGCACCCAGAATAGCAGCGTAGCCCGTGGTTGCAGTGAAAGCCCTGTCTCTTCCTTTCCTTTTCACTCTTTCTCTCTCCCTGTCCTCCAATGTGTTTATCAGCCGCCGCTTAAAGGATTAAGAATGCAAAGTGTTGATGTACCTGTGGTGTTTGGTGAGAGTTTGAGCTGAATGACCACAGAGGCCTGTAAGCGCACCGAGGCACCGTTAGATGGTAGTTTGTCGCCAAGCTGGAGGTTATTTTGTCAAATTACCCATGACTTCATTTACCCATGATCTGGATAGATCTGAACCAAGTAGAATACAAGGAAAAGGTTTCAGCTCAGACAGTATGTAACAGTATTTGTGAAATGGTCAATTTAGTTATTAGGCCCTATATTGACTTTCCGGTATATTATGTGAGTTTGAATTCAAAGTGAAATATCTCATAACATGCACAATGCCTTTTCCTAAACATTTTCCCGAGCAATGTTTTGACTGATTACAATTTATTTTATGGACCCATGAATTTCTAATAATTTCCTTGTAAGTTTCCTTGAAATAACTATGCAATTTGTCATTAATTATAGCTGAAATAGAGAGAGAGAGAGTTCACAGTTTTGATTAATTAATTCCAATTAAATGCTAAGCCAGCGTTTCCTAGAGTGTTTTAATCAGAGCACAGTAGGTCGCCTGAACAGGCAGAAATGTGCACATGCAATTCAACATTAATGGAGAGTGCAGTCTCCAATAAATATTTACTTGGGTTAACATGGAGCGGTTCCTACATTACATGGAAATTACTCCTGAAATCAACAACTGTTTTTAAACTTAACACACCTAACTAACTGATACAACAGTCTAAATCTACTCTATAATTAGTGCCAAATTACGAAGCGCTTCGGGACTCTTTCCAGAAATGTTAAGGAAACAACAAAACACTTTTACAATGTCAAAATGTTCTTCTAACCCACTTTCCTTCCGTGGCGCTCTGCAGCAAACTGGATGCCTTCATCTACGACGCGGCGGTGCTGAACTACATGGCGGGCAGAGACGAGGGCTGTAAGCTGGTCACCATCGGGAGCGGCAAGGTTTTTGCCTCCACCGGCTATGGCATCGCCATCCAGAAGGGCTCGGGCTGGAAACGAGCCGTGGATCTGGCCATCCTCATGCTGTTTGGAGATGGTAAGGAACTTGGAATAACATTTCTTTATTTCAATGAAGAGGCCTTGTAAATATCATCATAATGAAGCAATAATGGTGGCATTTCTACTTGGCTTTTTATCTATTGCTTTTGATGAAACAACAACAGATAATCAGGTCTTATAGCTGCTGTTGTCGATTGCCACTTTAATGTAGAAATACACACACAATCACTCATACGCATATTGTTTTGGGGATAATGTTTCAAATGGTGTACTATTTGTATTGTAATATCCTCACAGTGAATATCCCACAGACAAATGGCCTAAACTTCGTGACACCTTCTCAGAGGTGTAACTTTTTAACAACAATATTACAGGACAACCAAATGAACTTCCCTTCAGAGTTGAATCACTACTACAGATTTCAATAAACAAGACGCAGCGATCATTAAGGTGGAGAATCTCAAAATGAAGTTATGCTCTCATCAGTGTATTAAAGTTGGAGACGGGAAGTCGTGGAAGCAGCTGTGAGGAGGCTGTGACTCAGAAGGTGGTCGGTGTTTGTCATGGTAACAAGCCAAGAACCTGCTGGTGGATCCCGGCATTCGATGAGACCTCCTGAGCCAGACTGGCACAATTCAGTCCTCAATCAGCAGTGATGTACCGGCAGGCCTGAGAGGCTGCAGCTGCTGCAGCTGGAGAAGTGAAGGCTTGAGTGTGGAACTTTGTTTGGTAATGTAGGAGGTTCTGGCAGCACATACTACAAAGGCTGTTTTGTCAGGGACAAGGAATGTTGACCTTAAAGGGACAGTTCACCCCAAAATATAGCGGGTGCGATATAGTCCCATTATATTTGAGAGAAGGCCGACATCTCAACAGCCACTATCTCCAACACCAGGCAACTCACACCAAAACAATCTAGACTGATAAATAGCACTACAGGTAAGAGGATGAATACGAGTTTTTAATTTTGGGGTGTACTGTCCCTTTAACTGAAGGTAGGTAGAAGGAGCTTTGTGAATGCTGTTGGGCTGTTGTAATTGTTTTATTTCTTATCAGTGTCACGTGGACTGTCAGTCTTATTCATGCAACAGGGGACACCTTAAATATTTGTGTGAGGGCTTTCTGGTATTAACAATGTTTACAATCCCTTTTGTCTACCAGCTTGACATATTCAAAGTAAAATCCCTCTCTGATTTAGACTAGCATATAGGTTTCTAAGATGTTCTCTCTGATAGCTTGTAAGCTACATTAGAAGGATCAGACATAAAGGCCGCAAAGCTCAGCTTACGATTTTGAAAAGTGCGTAAATAATTTAAACCCTTTACCAACTCCAGTGGCTGCTTAGTGATGTGCAGGGAGCTCAGTAGGCTGCCCTGAGTGTTCATAACAAGCACACGTGTCTTTGTAGAAATTATTAGTGAAGCACCGTTTCTCCAGCTGATTAATTCACTGATTTGAATAATGAGTCCGTGTCCCATCGCTGGACTTCAAGGAGAAAGCAGCCCTTATGACACCGCGTGTGCCGCAGAGCAACAATCTCAGTTTGTAGGTCGGCTTTTTGTTTTTGAGCCCCAGCTGTTGTTGTGTGTTTTGTGTCGTGACCGAAAGAAGTCGGCAGGGTGACGGGGAGAGAATGACGAGCGCAGTGATCCACGAGGACCTCTGTATCAAGCTGCTGCTCTGTCATGAGAGGATTGAGCCAGTTGGGGTGGTTTGTGTGTATTGGTTAGGATGACTTATTTGGCCCCTCTGTTTGAACTGGTTCCGCTCCCAAATGACGCGGAGGTCAGAGCTGATGCAGGATGCAATGCCGTGACATTTCCCACCAGTATGGACGGATATTGAGACAATAGACCTTCAGGTACAGATATACCCCTCCTGCCTATAACAACACCTACATGTTGGTTGTAAATTGAACACTGCAACTGAACTTGATGAAGTGAGGCTGTTTAAACACGTTCTGAAGCTCCTGGTCCACATAGTGTTCTCACTACAATGGGACATCACAGGAAACCATCAATCTGTGATGCACGTTTTAGTTTCTTAGAGCCAGTTATTCTGCTGTGAAACGTATTGAAATCGTGCGTTTTAGTTCCAAGAAGTCGTTCTCGATTGATGGACGCCAGTGAAGACAGTCGAGCAACCCAGTTGTATTTCTTGAATAGGTTTTAATGCGTTTGAGGGCTGAAAATGTCCACTCGACAGAGGCAGCAGATATTGGGACTGTCACCGCCCAACATATCACGCTAGCCCACTGACAAATCACGTATGGCTAGGCCAGCTAGCAGGCTCTGGCATGTCAAAGAATACGCCCAACATGTCAAACTAAAGATCTGATTGGTTGAAGACTATGACAATCAACAATATCGTCCCCATTCAGTTAAACTGCAAAGGGATTCACTTGTCAGTCTGCAGGCCTGGGGCCTCTCTTCTTACCTAGAGACTCAGAGGTGAAATCTGATTGGATAAAAGCTCTACTTAAAACAAGCTGCACTGGAAGCAGAGCAACTGAGGAAGACAATGAGAAAATAAGCTAATGGGGGAAAAAAATTATAATGCATGTGTATTTATGAAAAATTCTTAAATTATAAAATAGCTATAACTTTGTAATTCTGTCTAGGCCAGCAGAGAAGGCTTTGCTGGCCCTGACGGCCCATCACTGATAGACAATGAGCTACAAACACAACACTTGAAGAACTATCACTATAGGTGAATATACAAACACACAACCTTAGACTATAATGTTTCAGTTGAAATATTATTAGAGTATCGTAATCCTGCTTTATAAGATGCATAGCTGTATAGTAAGTATAATAATACAACAACAAAATCACAACTGACAGTATAACATGCTTAAACAAATAATGAATAAATATAGAAATAAGCTTCATGAAAAAGAAAAGATTGTTCCTGATGTGAATCGTTGCCTTTGGAGAGTCCACCTACAGGAGCACTCCACCTCCAGAGACAGTATGTGCTCCACCACCTGCCAGACCGTATATTGTACAGCACGTTGACACACACACACACACACAAATACATGTTTTTCTCCAGTGTGCTACCATCTTCCATCCGGGTGTGTTATGGATGACGGGGTCAGTGCAGAGGGAACATTCACCTCGGATCAGATCTTTAAGACGCAAACCGACCCAGACCTCGACATATGCTGCTGAGTTCAGATGGCAGTCTGAACATGTATGCATGTGACTGTGTGCACGCTTAAATATCAGACAAAGGTGTCCGCGCAAATTTTCCAAATTGAAGTAAAGTCTTATTGTACTGTCGACACAAGGCCAACGCGTCAGACATTAACTCTCATCACTTCATGCAGACTGTTCAGCTGTCAGCACTCATGCGACGCTCCAGGTTAAGAGATCAGACTCATCGATGTTTGCTCCCATCTGTCACGTCCTGTTAGAGTCCAGGTATGAACATGATGCAAGTCTTAGGCGCAGAGGGAAAAGGATCAGCGATGGCCTACTAACAGGAAACCGAGTGCCTCTTCATCTGAGCAGGATCAGGAGGGAGGTGGGAGAAATGTTGACGGTGGAGGAGGAGGAGGAGGAGGACGATGGCAAAGATGATGAATACGGATGGAGGGAGGACTAGAAAGCAGGGAATCATTACGAAAATAAAGATTTCAATTACTTTATCGATTCTGCTCTTTTATCCAGTTCTTAATCAATTGCTGTAGTGATTCAATTTTGGTTCACACAGAGTGTGGAGTGTGCATCCAGGAGGTGTTCATCCTGCCCGTATGGCATTGTCATTGAAAACATGCGGGCTGATATGAAGAATCAATGGTTCGACTGCTGTCAAGAATGGGACACTGGTTCTAACTGGGAACCAATTTTCAGTTTCCAAGATTTAAAAAATGTATTTTAATTTTTGTCTTTTTGACATGCAGTTATCACTAATACATTTAGCTATGACACATCGAAATAGACATTTTAGTAAATCGGCTTACTCGCTTTCTTTGCGGGTGTCCGATGAGAAGATTTCTACCACTATCATGTCTGTGCATTAAGTACGGAGCCGGAGGCAGCAGGCAATTAGCTTAGCTAGCTTAGCGGACTGGAAGCCAGGGGGGACCAGTACCAGCACCTCTAAAGCTAATTTATTAACATGTATTCCGTTTCTTTAATCTGTACACAAACAGAAATGTAAAAATTAAACTGTGTGGTGATGTGGGGAGTTATTTGCTTGGCAAAAAAACACCAGAGGCAGTGACTTCCTCTAGTCGCCACAGTGAGGTTGCCAGGTTTGCTGCCATTGTACAGAGACCTATACTAAAAGCTGTGCTCTACAACTGCGTCTGGCAACCTGCGCTACAGCCCGAGACGCTTCACAGAAGAGCCCTTTGGATGGAAAAACTTTTTGTCAAGAAATAGTTCCAGCATGTAACTTCCCCAAAAAAACAAAGTTGTTGGTTGTATATCTCACGCTTTTGGTTTAAATTAATAAGATGTAAAATGTTGATTGCTGAGCTTTATTTTTTTTTCAGCTGTGGACATAGCTAGGCTAGTAGTTTACCCCCTGGTCCCAGCGTTTATGCTAAGCTAAGCTAATAGCCTCCTGGCTCCTGCTTTGTAGTTAATACACAGACGTGACAGGGGTATCGATCTTCTCATCCAACTCAGAGAAAGAAAGTGAAAGAGTGTAAATAATCGTATATTTATTTCATGAATAAAATACATTAAACTAAATACTTTTCTCATTCTTTCCAGATTTAATATGTTTTTGACTACTTTCTGTTCGGCGCTCATCAGCATGTTAACTAATCTGCCACTGCACTTTCTTTTCTCTCACTGAGGTTCAATGTGGTAAGAAAGTCTGACTGAAAACTAGTGAACAGCTGTCTGAGACGAACACACATCCATACACAAAACAGTGTTTGGCAAGCAGTGGGAAAATACATACCCCCCTTGATCTCCAACAGATACACACAACAGTCCATTGGTGCAGATCAAACAAATCTCTCTGGACGTGTCCTCTCCCCTCAGCAGTCCCCCCAGGTATGTGGAAGTGAGGGGGAGACATATTTGGGCGGAAGCGCTCGTCACATGACCACACGCACTTCCTCCCCGAGGACTGTCGAGTCCCAGCAGGCGGTTGTGTTTTGTTTTTTTCCCCTCCCCACAACAAGGAAGGGATAGCCTTCCATAAGCAATCCTTAATGAGGATGATCCTCAGGGGGACGTTCAGTCAAAATAATGCAACTTGACATTTGTTGCACGTACATGAGACCTGAGCTGTTTTTGGCATCGACTTCCCACCCCCCCCAAAGAAATCTGCCCTCTCTTTTTGTACTCGCACTTAAATGTTCAGACACCCATGGGCGAACTCACTGAAGCGCAAACATGAACACTGACGCCTCGATACAGTAACCTGTGTGTGTGTGTGTGTGTGTGTCTGTGCGTGTGTGTCTCTCTCTCTCCTTCCTCCAGGTGATATGGAGGAGTTTGAGGCCCTGTGGCTGACGGGCATTTGCCACAACGAGAAGAACGAGGTGATGAGCAGCCAGCTGGATGTGGACAACATGGCGGGGGTCTTCTACATGCTCGGCGCCGCCATGATCCTGTCGCTGATCACCTTCATCTGTGAACATTGGTTCTACTGGCAGCTGCGCTTCTGCTTCATGGGCATGTGCACGGGGCAACCCGGGGCCACCTTCTCCATTAGCAGGGTGAGTGTGCTCGTGTTTTATTTTAGGTCTGACCTTTGTCTCCCCCCCCCCTCGACAGAAAGATCAAGAGAGGGAGAGAGGGGTTGTTTTCAAACCGCTGGCTTTCGGTTGAGGTGTATCGAGTCAGTCAGCGGGATGCGATGACTCAGCTGACTTAATCTGTGACTTTTTTTAGCCCAGGCAGTAGTTAAACAGCAAAACACAAGTCAACAGCATCCTGTGCTGTACGCTAAAAAGATATCTTTGCTTGTCTAAATTCTACAGAAATTCAAAATTTTCAATTTGTATAAAATACTGCAAGTCAAAGGGAGCACAACATTACAGCAATATAGTCAGCAGCAGTTCACTTTTATTAAAATAACCAGCACTATTTTTTTTTTCAAATGTCATCTGAATGATAAAGGTTTATGATGGATATTTCTATATTTAGAATTATAGGTTTGTCCTGAAAAAACAAATCATAATTCTGGAGTTGTTAAATATGAGCACTCTTTACAGAAAAGTAACACGAGTAACTGGTGAAATCTGTGAGGTTTGTGGTGCAAATGACTGCTGCTACTGGCTTACAGCGGACTCATGACAAATATATGTTAAAGTTGAAGGTTTACTTAAAGTTAAGGTGTCAGTATGATCAAAAGTCACAAGTTCATAAGATGTGACGTCTGAAGGCAAAATGTTTATAGCTCTTAGGAACGGCCACACTCGAAGGCAGGATGATAAGGCAGCCGTGATAGAGAGGGGGACGAGATATGATAAGCGCACATTTTCAATCTCATCAAATGCATCGTTTTTTTAACACAGGAAAAGTAATTAGGCACAAAATGAAAAAAAAAAGAGAGCCCAACCTTGATGTCGTAACTTTCCTCACACCTGGCCAATCGCTGCATGAAGCGGCTGTGATTGTCAGGTTTGTTGATTTCGGAAAGTCCAACAAGCATCCAGTTCAAGCATATGGGCAACTTCTACTCAGTTCATGGAGGTCAAGAGAGAACACTTAGCATGTGAATAATTTACCAAACTAACAAATGACAGGCAACTATTTAGCCTCTTCACTTATTAAGGACAGTGGAAAACAAATGTGTCGCCTGGATCGCCAACAGCACACACGAAGCAGTTACAACCAGCGTTATGAAGACCAAGGCTTTTGATTTGCTGAATGACAGCGAGACAGCTGATGACAACCGGCATCAGCAAGCCTCCATCACTGAATCCTCAGACCCTGAAAGGGTTAACAAAGCTTGCAATCTTTGAGAAAAGTCCACCATTTATCGGGTTAACAAGCACGGTTATGACTCTGCTCAGATGAGTCACTTAATAAGGTGCCTCTCAGAGTTATTGAAGCAGGCTGCTTGGGGTTCATATAAATAATCACTTGAGGCGTAATTAATTTGCATAATGTTGCCTTTTAAGGAGGGGGGAGAGGGGGGTGTTGTTGTTGCATACAAATTGTCTCAGTTATTATTTGTCTGAGAAAAGGACACCAGTGTTTATGTGTTTGGTGTTTTCTGATTGTAATGTCGTCTGGTTAACACCTACTCAGACTAACCTGAAAGCACTTCATAAAGAGATCTGGCCTTGAGCACTTCAGGAACATGCCGTTTCCTTTTCTTTTCTTTTTTGTTAAATTGGCAGGAATCTCCCACTGTCTTTGGTAATGCAAAACATAAGCACTGTTTTGTGCATGGTAGCTTTACGATTCACCCTAAGCTCCGACACGTTTGAGACGGATTTTACAACATCCATTTTGAGTGCATACACCGATTCAAGAGGTGCTTCTACAGCCTGATATCTTTTATGCATTTCCACGCCTGGTTTAACACTCGAGTTGGGTGCGAGGAAGAAAAAATATTAAAGATAGTGCGGCATTGAAGAAAACTGTTTTCTAATACAGTATATAGAATGTGTAAGGACGGACAAGTGATGAGAGCACAAAGGGCTAATAAAATACAGAGGAAGAAAAAGAGATCAGTCAGCCAGAGTCATGATAAAGAATAAAATGGGTAGCGGGACAAAGGCGGAGTAGAAAAGGATAGACACAGTGGTGTGCAAGGAACCTCTGTTCTATTACCTTTTCACGGCAGCTGTAGTAGCTATAGATGTAGAGAGATAAAGACAGACAATCCCATTGGATTGGCTGCCGCTCACCGGAGCACCCGGAAACGGAGATAAAACAGACACAAAGAGAGAACGGAGACATAAAAGAAGAGCAGGGACGACGATTCACATTCATGAATGTGGCTCGGCGACGGGGAAAGTGACTAAGAGACAGACAGAAACTGTTTCTGACAAGTTGACGCCTTTGAGGAAAGCTGGCCCGCGTGCTGGCTGGTGGGTAGTGTGTCCTCGACCTTTCGGATTTGGCTGTCGCCTCGACCACAGATCCCCTCGGCCCCCATTTAAACACGCTTGTTTGACTTCGCTCGCGAAAGGCTTTCCCCTCTCTCGAAAATCCTGCTCCAACCGACAAACCAAAACAAACGTACACACTGATGGATTATGACATTTTAAAAAGACGATTGATGATGCATGTGTCTTGATATCGTAAGAAAGTCAGATTTACTCTTGCAAAGTGATTCATTTCCTTGACAATTTTTTCTTTTTATGAAAGGAAAATTAGGCAAAAGTCAGTGGCACCAGGGTCAGCTGAATTAAAATTACATTGATTAAAGCTATTGATCGGTGGTCAGAACCATGAGCTTACAGCAACCCTTGTGTTATCAATCAGGGCTTTGATCTGCTCCCTCGGTTCCCTTCAATCTGAGGTGGAGGGCTGAGCAGCAGCTGTGAACGTCCGCGCTGTTCCCCCGAGAAAAGTCACTTATGAACTCAGCCCCTATTACTGTTTAATAGTGTGTAAACAAGAGGGTGGTCAGAGAAAACATGGCAATGCATTAGCCTCTCTCCGCCCGTTTGCCTCTCTCTCTCTCTCTCTCTCATTCTGTTTATGTGTCTGCCGTTTGACTTCCTCTCTCTAACATTAAACCCCCTTTGGTTCTCGACTCCTTACTACCGCCTCACATTTTACTGGTCTTTGCTTCTCCCTTGGGCATCGTACCTCACCACTCTCACTCTTATTCTTTCTCCTTCCCATGGCCTGTCTCACCCTCTCTTCCTCTCTCCACCTCCCTTTTTTTCTTCTAATCTTCACACTCCAGGGTATCTGGAGCTGCATCCATGGGGTACAAATTGAGGAAAACAAGTCCACCATAGACTCGCCCTCGGCCACCATGAAGAAGAACATGAACAACACCCACTCCAACATCCTGCGTTTGCTCCGCACTGCCAAGGACATGACCGCCGTCCCGGGCATTAACGGCTCGCCGCACGCCGCCCTGGAGTACAGCCACAGCGGCCGTGACTCGGCCATCTACGATATCCAGGAGCACCGGCGCAGCTTGGTGGGCCACCCCGTCGACTGCAAGTCAGCTCCTCCCTACCTGCCAGAGGACAACATGTTCAGTGACTACATCAGCGAGGTGGAGAGGACTTTTGGTAACTTGCCCCTGAAGGACAGCAACCTGTACCAGGACCATTACCTGCACCACCACCCGGCCTCGGCTCTGGGTATGTCCGGCCCCCTGCCTAACAGGCCGTGTAGCTTAGGCAGCACTAGCTCGTTGGAGGGGGGCATGTTCGATTGCGACAGTTTAGGGGGAGGGGTTGCGCCCATCTTCACCACCCAGCCCCGCCCCTCCATGACTCACAGGAATACCAATAAGTTTGACCTGATTGCTGGCCACACCCCTGCGGATTCCAGCCAGGGTGGGTTCAAGGGAAACAATGTATACGGCAGGTTTTCTTTCAAAGGAGGTGCATCCAGCACGGGGCTCATCGGGGGTCATGACAGGTACTGTGGTGGGCGCGGGGGAGGCTCAGGGGGGGACGATGGGAACATTCGCTCGGATGTCTCGGATATCTCCACGCACACTGTCACCTACGGCAACCTGGAAGGCAACAACAAGCGGCGTAAGCAGTACAGGGACAGCCTGAAAAAGAGGCCAGCTTCGGCCAAGTGCCGACGGGAGCAGGACGAGATAGAGCTGAGCGGCCTCAGGAGGAGAGCCCACCACCACACCGTCCACCACCACTTCTCCCACGGGCCCCTGGCACACCGCACGGTCTCACCTCCCCTGGAGCGGAAGAGGGGAGGCGGAGGGGGTAATTCTTCACCTTACTTGTTCCGCAAAGACAAAGAGAACCTGAGGGATTTCTATGCGGACCAGTTCCGCTCCAAGGAGGGCAAGGCCAAGTGGGAGCAAGAGGGTGGAAGTGGAGGAAGCGGCGTGGGCGGTGGTAGTGGTGGTGGTATCTGTAAAAGCTTAGTACCTGTGGAAGACTTCCTCAAAGGTAAAGGCAAGAAGCCAGAGTGTAAAGGTGGGCTCGGGTCAGTGTCGGCAGGGCAGCAGGCCCACACCTGCTGGGAGAAGGGAGTTTCTGGGCTGGGAGGTGGGGGCATAGCAGGGGGCGACTGGGAGTGTCGTAACTCCCACAATGTGTGTCACCACGGTGGAGGCGTGGGAGGAGGCGGCGCTTGCCAGGCTAGTGGGGTTGGCGGTAGCAGCAGTCGCCCCAGCTCCGCTAGCTGCAAGCGCTGTGACTCATGTAAGATCCCGCCGAGCAACCTTTACAACATCAGCGAGGATAACAACATGGTGTTCGCCGGAGTGAAGAGTAGCCTAGGACCCAGCAAAGTACAAACTCAGGCACAGGCGCAGCGCAGGAAACTAGGGCCGGGCGGGAGGGTGTTAAGGAGGCAGCACTCGTATGACACGTTTGTGGACCTGCAGCGGGAGGGGGCGGGCCGCATGGGAGGGGGCGGCGGGGGGAAGTTGCGGAGTGTGAGCTTGAAAGACAAAGACCGCTTCATGGAGGGCCCCAGCCCTTACGCTCACATGTTTGAGAGGTACGCAGGGGAAAGAGAGTCTTCCATGTTTGGGGGAGTAGGTGGGGATAGGGCAAAGGGAGGCTCCTCCTTCAGTTTGTTCCGCGGAGGCGAAGGTGGGTTGCATCAGCGGTCCATAGGGGAGAGAGACAGAGATAGAGCTATGATGGGAGGTGGTGGTGGTGATGGTGGCGGTGGTGGTAGCAGCAGAGGGGCCGGGACTTACTCCTTGTCTAAATCTCTCTACCCAGATAAGGTGAACCAGAACCCCTTCATCCCAACCTTCGGCGACGACCAGTGTCTATTACACGGCGCCAAACCGTACTACGTCAAAAAGCCACAGACGCAGCAGCAGCAGCAGCTTCTCAACAACAGCCGAGGAGGAGGGGACTTCCACGGCTCCATGGGAACGACTTCCTATTTGCCTGTGTCCGCCACAGCTGGGGTGATGTCCAATGTGGCCCCTAGGTTCCCCAAAGATCTGTGTCTGAGCGGGGTTGGGGGGCCCATGGGGAACCACCACGGGGCCAGCAAGCCACTGCCGGTGGGCAGGGACACGTTAGGTCTGGGGCCGGGACAGAGATCCTTCAACGGTGCCAGCAATGGACACGTTTATGAAAAGCTCTCCAGCATTGAGTCAGACGTCTGAGGGTGAAGACGGAGGAAGAGAGAGAGAGAGGGAGAAGATGAAGTGGGCGAAGAAAAGGGGCGAGAGAAACATACAGATGCTGATGACCTCTCAGTGCGGCGAGAACGAGGAGACACAATGCTGTGTGTGTCGTTCTTGACGAATTTGGACGATGCACAGAGGCCACTGCAGGCTAAGCTGTGAAGTCTGGCGGGAGACAAGTTCTAAATGAGGAGAGAGGATTCTGGTGCTGCTCCGACGCTCAGAGAAAGATAGGGAGGGAGGGAAGGAAGGGGGGGGGGGGGGAGTGAAATCAAATCTCCAGTCTCTGCTCTCTGCACACGCTCATCGTCTTTCCCTCCCTCCTGCAGTTCCTTAACACCAAAACAAACATTTTGTTTATCAACGGAAATACAATCATGAATGAGAAATCAACGCTTCTGTTGAAGTAACAGGGTAAACTAATAATAATTGTATTGATAATGTTAATAATATTATTGAATATTATTCCAGTGTTTAACGATGATCGGTTTTGGATTGTTTAGTTTTTTTCTTTCTTTCAATTTTATTGATTTAAATAGTTCATGTTACATATTTGTATGATGTTAATTCTTTCTTCGCTTACCAATATTACAGGAGACCATGTCGTTCGATCTATTTTCGGGGGTTCCTGTACTTTGGACTCTTCTTTGCTATTAATTCTTCATGTTTGATTTTTTTTTTTTTTTACTTTTCTTACTCTTGAGTGCTGTGAAGTGTATGTGAAAGGCATGACTTGCTGAGTACATTCTATGTACTTATAAATTTGCAAAGAAGGTCTCTTTTTTTTCAGCTACTGAAGCAACATCATCATACTGATTTGCCGTTTCCCCTCCGTTTTTCTCTGCTCGGCAGTACCAAATGGGTCTCACATTTTGAGCTGGATGTGCCTTAAAGGATTGTTACAGATTTTCTACACACGGGATCTGCTCTATTGGCAGACAGATCCACCTGCAAACAACTAGTCTAATTGATCAGAGTGTGAAAACACACCTGAAGAAGTCTGACGAGGGCAGAGTTTCACGAGCATGACAGACTTTTAGGCATTTGACAGACGTTGTAATACAAAGCTGCCGTAGAGGAAGCTGAAATTCTTAAGTAGATCCCCAACAACCAATAGCAGGTTTACAAGGGTTAAAACCGCAGTGCCATGATAAACACACATTCCTGCGTTTGATGGTCAAATTTGAATGATGCGGGGAGGAGAACAAAGTGTCGAACACATTCGTTCTGCTGGTTTAAAGGACCACAGTGAGCTCAAGTACAAAGTTCCAAATGATCTCTTCTTTTAGATAAAGTTACATCTTTGTGTGTTTCTAGTTAAAAAATGGGGGAAATACGACAAACAGTTTGTGCTCACTATACAGCTACCGAACAGTGTTCCTCAGCAATAGTTTTACATTTTTGGGAAAATATTTGCTTCCTTGTTGAGCATTAGATGAGGAGATCGAGACCACTCTCACGTCTCAGCGGTAAATATGAGAAAGAGTTAGCTTAGCTTAGCATAAAGGCTGAAATCGGGGAAACAATAAGCCTGGCTCTGTCCAAACGCCAACAAAACCACCTAACAGCATCTCTAAAGCTCACAAATGAACACGGTATGTATTGTTTGTTCAGTCCATGCAAGAAGTGTAAAAATGACATGTAGGAGGGATAGCTGCTGGACTTTCTTGTAGTTGCCATGATGTTCAGCCAAGAAATAGTCCACACAATGTGTCACTTCTTTTTACAGATTACAGAAAAAACAAGCTACAACGTGTTAATTAGTGAGCTCTAGAGTGCTGGTTGGCAGATTTTCTTATCTTTGGACACAGTCGGGCGAGCTGCTATCCCTCCGTTTCCAGTCTTTGTGCTAAGCTAAGCTAACTGGCCTCTGGTCCATTTAAGATCTGACAGTGGTATCTCAACAAGAAAATAAAGCCTATTTTCCCAAGTTGTCAGACTATTTCATCCACTAAGACAAGCGAACCTTGATAATATTAGTCAGTCCCTTTCATCATTTCTTCTGCCAACGGAACATAAAGAATAATTTCCATATGTACTGTTACCTTGATTTCTAACCCCCCACCGGACCATAATTTGTTTCACATGCTGAGATTTTGGTGAAGGAAGGAATTTTGCCCTCAAGTCCTCCGAAGGTCCTGTGTGGATTGTGTCAGCGGCAGACGTTTGAGGAGAAAACAGAAGGAAGAGGAAGGCAGGAGCAAGTAGGTGGTACATTTAGTGAAAGCATCGTCTTTGTTACTACATCAGACACACGGGTCATCTCTGCTCTTAACACTGCACAGAGACAACAAACACAACTTGTGTTTAGTTTCAATCACAAAAAATATATATTGGTCACAATATCTATTCCACATATCCAGTTATATACTGTCACCTGACTTTTAGTCCAAGCTAAATTTGAATACCTAAGCACAATCTGACTAAATGGGTCGAATATATTTAGTTTGTTGTACATCCCAGTCTAAACTTTGGAGGACTTTCCTCTTCTTGGTTGACAAGTCAGTATGTATGATACTAGGGGGTCTCTAGTGTTTGTAAGGACCTGCATGTATACACTTTTCTTTCTTTCTCTTTTATAATATTAACGTTTAGCCCAGAAAAAATGGCGTTTTTTCGGAACAATATTTGGAATTTGTATCAATTTCATTGGTACTGATGATCCATGTAGTACTGTGGGTGCGTGCTTGTGTGCGTGTGCTCGTTTGTGCAGGAGAAAACACCAATCTTAACATCTAAATTTTGGTTATACTTTCATGAATATGGCTAAATTGATTGAAAATTCCACTAGGGTAGAAAACAGTTTTTTAAATATTATTAATCTTCTACAAAAGTTTCCTTGATAAGTTTGTGTTAATGCTTTTAAACAAGGTTGAGGTCTTGATTAATACATTCATCGTCACTAAAGAAGCCTTTTTTTCATTTCAACTACTTTTCCTGTTGTTTCCCTTTTGACTATCTCATTTCCTTATTTCTTTTATTGTACGTGCCTGAATACATACGCTTGATTACCTCTGTGTGTGCTCATATGGGAGAGAGGCAGAGTGTATGTGTGAGAGATAACTGTTTTCTTGTACATGTATTATAAAACTGTATGTAAATACTTTACCTCACGCTCATGGACTTTTGATAAAATACAAAAAAAAAAACTGTACAAAAATAGCAGAGAATAGATCTATTTGGGATAAATCTTTGATTCGTAGGTTGCCCCCTTGCGAAATTGCTTTTGTAACGATTTCAGGCCAGGATATGTGCAATCGTTTGTTATTACACAGATAGTGTGCACATTCAATGAGTCATGGTTCCTTCTTGTTTTTTTATTTATTTGGTCAAAGACCATCTAAGAAGGTCGTTTTCTCAAAGCACCACCATTAATTGGTACACAGAAAGCACAATGTATTATCTGTTGCATTTTCTTTTTTACACCGGAAGTCTCTTTTCGCTCCTCTTCGACTAAACTTCTGTTTTAGTTTTGTTTGTTGTTTTTTTTGCCGCAGAACACTCGAACAACTCCACCCCCTGAGCTGTACAGATTGTGAAAAATGTACATATAACATTAAAACAAATCTAGTTCGCCCTTGCATTTTTTTGTATGGAGAGAAATTACTTGTGTGAAGAGAGTATTTCGAAATTTGATTTAATATTTAGTAATATTGAAAATGAGATTAAACACAGTCAATGTGAAAATAAGTGCTGAGAAATATTATTCTTCTGTCTCTTTGGAATAAAAGTGTTGAGTATTAATAAAAAATAAGAAATCTCAAGCTCGCTGGTCTTGTGCTTTTATTTATTTATTATCTTTTTGTCGTGTCCTCAGCTGTCCGCGAGCAACAGGGCGCCTCTCCCGCGTGTCCGGTTGATATGTGCGTGTTCACGCTGTAACGGACCGTGTCATTATGTCTCGTGCTGTGGGGCGATCTGACTGAGATAATTGCTGCAGCTGAGTGTCGTCTGCTGCTCTTTCAGCTCTCATAAACAAGGCTCTCGTCGTGCGAGATTGATTAACTCGTGTTGGATAAGTGTTGTTGCGGACCAAAGGGAAAATAAATATAGATGCTTGAGAATTTAAAAAAAGGTGGAGCGAGAGGCAGGAGAGAGAGAGAGAGAGAGAGAGAGAGAGAGAGAGAGAGAGAGAGAGATACTGAGGGAAGGAAGAAGTGATGTAAACTGAACGAGCATCAAAGATCAAAGCCCCCCCCCCCCAAAAAAACAAATAAAAAACCTGACTCCCCCTCACTCCTCAGACTCTTTACGCCAAAAGCCTTGTCCAGCAACAGGAGTTATTTAAAGAAACCTGCAGATTTGGAAATGTATGCCTCGCGGGTACGGATTTGGTGGGAGAATTTTAACATCTGAAGTCCCGGATGCCGACAGGGAGGGATGCGAGGCGGTAGAAATAATCCTTTAATCAGTTTTCATCTCCTGCTTCTCAAAAAAAAAAAAAAAAAATCGTTACTATTTTCTCTCTATTCTTGCTCACTTGTTTCGCTCCTTGCACCAACCCAACAAGCTCAGGATACATTGCAACACATGTAACTACTTCTTGACAATTAACTGTTACCTAGCAACTGGCTCTTTTTTTCAGAGACCAGGAGGGGGGTTGAGGAGGGGGGCGTAGACAGAGAGAGAGAGAGAGAGAGAGAGAGAGAGAGAGAGAGAGAGAGAGATTTATACAGTATTCCCACAGCATCTTAACTGGATCGGATGCAACAATGCATTGACAATACAATACCAAAATGGAAAGTACAGCCTGAGCCCGACGCCCACATATAGCAGCGTAGAGAGGAGAGGAGGAGGAGGAGGAAGAAGAGGAGGAGGAGGAGGAGGAGAAGGAGGAGGAGAGAGAGCAGGAGGAGGAGGGAGGTGGTTGATGTACAGATTGCTGTTTGGAGAGGAGAAAAGAAAAGGAGGGATGAACACACATGCAAAAGGGGGAAACAAAAGAGGAGCTGACAAGTGAGGACTGTGCAGATGCACGTTAGAAAGTGAGAAGCATGCTGCGGTACGTGTGTGTGTGTGTGTGTGTGTGTGTGTGTGTGTGTGTGTGTGTGTGTGTGTGTGTGGGGGGCGCGGTTTGACAAGTGGAGTTGTGGAGAGGAAGAGGAGAGAAACTGGTTGCTGTAGAAACACTTGGCAAAGTTTTAATGAAGGCATAAAGTTTGATGCCAGTGCCCACAACACACACACACACACACACACACACACACGAGATCACCATACACAAACAAACAGTATAATTGTGTTAGCAGATATAGCCCCCCCCCCTATTTTCTGCTGGGCC